TTACGTCAGGCAAGCTAACCAGATAACAACCAAGTGCCAGTTTACATCAGGCAAGTACTGTACAATGTTAGATAACCAGATAACAACCAAGTGTCAGTTTACATCAGGCAAGTACTGTACAATGTTAGATAACCAGATAACAACCAGCTGCCAGTTTACATCAGGCAAGTACTGTACAATGTTAGATAACCAGATAACAACCAGCTGCCAGTTTACGTTAGGCAAGTACTGTACAATGTTAGATAACCAGATAACAACCAGCTGTCAGTTTACGTTAAGCAAGTAGTGTACAATTAATCAGTTTGCACATCCTCGCTATAATCCTAATGTTCCCATGACAGCATTGATTATTCAACTTCAACACTCAACGGTTGACGAGTTTTTTTAACGGTTAAAATGAAAACTTTGACTTTCCGCTTTACTGATATGTCATTACAATCATATGAAACATAACTAGATTTACCATATCTGTTAGACTTCAACAAACAGGTCGAGGTCGTTTTGTGTATTTTGTTCACTGTTAACAAGAGTAGCTCGTCACATTAACAAAGGGTCGACAGTTAATTTATTTTTAGCTCTCTCTTGAAGCTAACATTTACTGACGTGTTGTTAGAAGTAGGTATTATTTTCGGTTTTCAGCAGACAGATCAATATTACACATTTGGCGAGTTCAGCTCACGCGTAATTTCTTACGTCACTAATTTACAATCTTGCCTGAGGATATCTATATCTACCTTTCATTCGACGGTTAGCGTAAATCGTGAAGTTAACAAACTTATCCACGTTTTCTGCCTGTTTGACGTCAAAATGGGGGTAAAACAAAGCAAACTTTCAAGCTTACACTGAAAGAATGAAATAAACATTTTGGAACGACGGGAAACTCAGGATCCTTTGATAATGAAGACGGTTGATAAAACACAAAACATTTTATTTACAAGGTTTGAACGTTTCGGAATAACTAATTCCATCTTCAGCGAAATCTGAAAACCGTGTTACAAAGATGTTTATTACTAAAATTATAATATATATAATTTTATCAACCGTCTTCATCTTCATTAATAGGCTTCGATTTCCCCATCATGGGTCCATTACCAGGATCATCTGAGCTTGAGAAGCGAACTTTTAAGCTTCTACCGCATTAAAACTTTCAATATACTCTTGTTCAAATTCTTCTCTTCTGTTATCTTTGGTGAGAAAATTGTCATAAAAATAGAAGAATTGTCACCAAATCAAAAAAGTTCGTTCGTTATTTAGGACAAAATTTGAATACAGGAGTTATAAAAATCACCTTAAACCAAATTATTTATTAATATTTCATTTTTATATTACATTTTATTCACAGAAGCGAGCGATTAAAATTTCCCACAAAAATAATATTTTATTAATTAAAGCATGATATTAGTTATGAATTAAAAATTTTAATCCAGATTTCAACTGCACTTTATCTGTCCTTCTTATATACGTACGTATGAATAGCGGATTACGATATTTGATATCAAATTCAGTTGTATCATCCTTAGACTTTAAGTATGGTCATCACCAACCTCCTCCCTCTTCAGCGGCACAGCGGTATATCTGCGGAGTTACAACGCTAGAGACCGGGTTTCGATACACGTGGTGGGCAGAGCACAGATAACCCATTGTGTAGCTTTGTGCTTAACTTCAAACAAACCTCCCTCTCCTCTCAATCCAGTGATCCGAGCTGACCTCAACGGGATGTAGGGCTATCACTAAATGCTGATGAAGACAAAAATATGCCAGTCCGCTCCCGCCTTACGAGTTGCTTACGATAAAACGTGTGGAAATATATATAAACAGAATGTCTAAGGTTCATAGTCCTAGAGTTCTTGTTAACTAACATGACAAGATGAAGGCAGTAATCCACGTGGTGATGGTGGGCGTTGTGAAACTGACAGCTTTCAAGTTCGATGTTTCACCTGTTATATACCTACACGACTGAGTCAACCTACCCAGATTCACTTGTCGCCCCCTTGGTTTTGAAACAAGCAGATACTAGGTTACATAAAGCCAAATACGAGATCTAAAATAAATTCTCCCACATAAGCTTCTGGAGATAAAGTACTGCCTACCGCTCGCTAATGTTCCTACCCAGGATAAAGCATGTAATTAATGGGTTTTGAAGAGGCCTACAATAAATATTGTGAAAAACCGGGGTTGGATACGTACCGTGGAAGTTGATATAAAGTCTGATTGTTGGCTCTTAGAAGCACCACGCACGTCTCGTGGGACGCATTGCATTCGTGCACCTGTGTGCGATTAAAATGGCACAACAATTAATACAACGTAAGGTACTGGATATAATGACTCAGGTAATGTTGATAAAACAAAACTGAAGTAACTATGCAAAATGGGAAAATATGGCACCGGTAACATCTATCACAGACAAAAAAAAAAAAATGGTACACTTAATAATAGCAATAATGAACCAGAAATAATACAAAAACCGGGAAATGGAAAGAATACAAAGGATAAAAATGGCACCAGTGATAAAACACAGTGGGGAAAAATGGCACCCGAAATAACAGCGCTGATAAAAACGGTAGTAATAACGCAAAGTGGGGAAAAAAATTGGCACGGGAAGTAATGGCACTGGCAAAATTTCTCCAGTGGTAATACAAAGTAACAAAAACTTCTTATTACGTAAAAGTTATAAAATTATTTCGCTTTTTTTTTTTTTTTTTAAGAAACTGTGCCATTTATTTTTCAGGGGGTGGTGGGTAATCTGCTTTTGATTTGAGTGATTATGCACGATCGCTCATATAGTATATGTGATGTTAGTGTTTTAACTTAAAGTAACATTTCTGTATTATGAAGAGGTTCACAGATCAGAAAACGTTAATTTAAAAAAATAATCTTCTGTTTTTTTATATCACAGCTAGATTAGTACTGAAGGTATATTACGGGCACGTAAAAACAGAATCGCGGATCTGCCTTACCTAGAGTTGTGATTATATTATCAGCACTGTATATTTTAACACACTTGCGGGTCTATCTGCCATAGTTGGATGTGTGATGATACTATTAGCACTTCATTGTTAAAGAAATCGCGCCTAATATTTCCAAAATCTGTATGGAAGAATTGGTTTCCTTTCCTTTTCCCCAGTCCAAAATGTCCAGCAAACAAAAACGTAAACTGTATGCAACTTATTGTGTTTGTATGCGTTACTTGTATATAGAAGACATGTTCTTGTGCCTACTTCTTTTCAAATATTTAAGTGTCTTGCTTCAAACGGATATTTCACCACGAATTAAGTTTTGGCGCTTTTTGCTACCTGCCGCTGTCTTTATTAACCAATGGGAAGACAAACAGTCAGCACCAATATCAACAACCATGCACGCTAAGGTATTGACTGCCAC